ATATATATAATGAAAATATATCCACAAATAAAAATGAAAGTAGGACATTTGTAGAAAAGTGGATGCATTTAGAAATTATTATATTAGGTGAAATAAGCCAGACTCATAAAGACAAATATGATGTTTTCTCTTATATGCAGAACTTGGCATGCTAGTTAGTTTTTGTCAACTTGGCTCCTGGGAAGAGGGAGCCTCAACTGAGGTATTTCCTCTATTGGGCCTGCCTGTGAGCATGTCTCTAGGGGCATTTTCTTAATTTCTAGTTAACATAGGAAGGCCCAGCCCACTGTTGGCAGCACCATCCTTGGGCGGGTATATAAGAAAAGTAGCTAAGCAAGTCAGAGCAAGTCCATAAGCAGCATTCCTCCATGGTCTCTATTTTAGTTCCTGTCTTGAGTTTCTACCTTGACTTTCCTCAGTGATGAATTTTAAGCTGGGAATTGTAAGCTGAAATAAACCCTCTCTTCCCCAAGTTGCTTTTGGTGAGTGTTTTATCATAGCAACAGAAAGCTAACTAGAACACCTGGAAATCTAAACTTAAAATTTCCCACGCCCTCTGTGTGTGTGTGTGTGTGTGTGTGTGTGTGTGTGTGTGTCTGTGTCTGTGTCTGTGTCTGTGTCTGTGTCTATATGTGTAGTCAGAGAACAGTTTGCAAGAATCAATTCTCTACTTCCACAATGTGGGTTCTGGAGATTGAACTCAGGTCATCAGCCTTGATGACAGGCATTTTACTCACTGAGCCATCTCACTGACCCCATTAGTTGTAAGAAATTGTAACCTTTCCCATTAAGAACAGGAACAAGGCAAGGATGATCCTCTCTCGGTGTTCCTTTATAGCACATATGTCCTAACTAATACAACAGGACAAGAAAGAAAGATGTGCTCTTTAGGAAGGAAGAAATAAAATGTCTTTTAATGTTAAATTTGCCAAATCAGGAAAGCTGAAAGAACCATCATCATCAAGAATAACTCTCTTAGAACTAATTGATTACAGAAAATATATAGCATTCTAGGTTAATATACAAAAATTCAATCCCTGCTATAGATGCCAGTAATGGACAAGTGGAATTTCATATTAAAAGAAAGGACTGTTTATGTTAGCCACTCAATAAATAAAAGAATTAAGTATAAATCTAACAAAATATATGAGACATATATATCACAAAACTACTAAATCCGATGAAAGAAAAAATAACTAGCAATATTTCATATTCATAGATAAGAACACTCAATAATATTAATATGTCAGTTCTTCATAACTTGATCTGCACATTTAACTCTATTCTAATCAAAATCCCAGCAAGTTATTTTGTGCATATTGAGCAACTATAAAATTTATATGGAGAGGCCCCAGGAAAAACCAACATAACACTGAAATACAGAGTTGGAAAGCAGACCACTAGACTTCAAGACTTATGACAATTTTATAGTAATCAAGACAATGTTGAATAGGCAAATATTCCCATTGTTTTTCTATGCTTTCTAGATTGACTGTGTAAGCATCCATTATGTTTGTGATAAAAGACAACATTAAAAGTACATAAAAAATTTTGAGATAACATCTTGCTCTGGAGCCCAGGATAGCCTGGAACTCCATGTAATCCAGGCTGTCCTTAAACTCATGGCAATCATTCTGCCTCAGCCTCCTAAGTGTTGGTATTACAGGAGCGAGCTATCATATTTAGCTATAAAAGTAAATTTTTAAATAGTAAAAATTGCCAAATTATCTCTCTGTGTATCTTTATACCATAAACATGCATAAAACAATCTCTACTAGAGTTTTAGCTAAAAATATAGTCTTGTAACACACCTGGGAGTTTGACATGGTAACTATTTCGGCTCTTAGGATATTAAGGCTATTTGGACAGAAGACTTTTTTTTTTTCTAAGACAAGGTCTCACTATAGTCCCAGCTGGCCTGTAACTCATTGTGTAGACCATCCCAGGTTGGCCTCAATCTCACAGAGATTCACCTGGCTCTACCTCCCAAGTGCTGGGATTAAAAGCATGCACCACCACACCCAGCCTGGAGAGAAGCTATTTCCCCCATACTTAAAATCCATGCATTTCATCATGAGACTATCATCTGAATCATGCCTTAGACTTTTTGAAGATCCTTATGAAACTTGAGCTAAAAGCAGGCACAGACTTTAAGCATGATAATGTCAATTGAGCGAAAGCTGATATCAGATATTTATGAAGGCTAGAAGTTTGCTTTAAACAATTTTTCCCATTTTTTTTCCAGATGCAGTTGAGATCTATTTTATATGAAGTATTAGTGCGTATCAACAACACTGGGCTCAGAGAACTCTGAAACGCTGACTACCCTCGAAGATTTTTGCATGTGGCTCATCCAAAATGGTGACAAAAGGGTAAATGTCATCAACTTAACGGGTAATCCAAAATGGTGACAAACGGGTAAATGTCATCTACTTCATTTATTACAGATGGATGGGCTTTTTCACTCCACAATTCAGAAAGTACAGCTCAGATAAAACTACGAGCACAGGGCTGGTGCTGTCTGATATGTTAGTAGAAAGGTATTTTTCTTGTGTTATGATACACGAAATCCTTCAAATCCAGTTTATTTTAAGCTCTACCTTTGCAAATTTAATATTTTCAATCAAAGTTAGTCTCTACCTTTGGATCTAACTGCTGATTTCTTTCACAGGGTCCTCTCAGTCTGCCTTTCATGTCTTATTAGTCACAATTTTTTTCTTCATACTTAAAAAGTTACATAAAACGCTTGAGCTACTGGTATTTTTATTTACCAATCCTATTAGTCTAAATCATTGCCTAAGAAGTTATGGCCTATGCTTTATGAATTTAGTGCATCATAAGCACAGTGAAGACCTGTTTGTTATGAGATCCTACATGACTTTGAGCTGACCACACCAACTTTATACTTTCTCAGGCAAGTGAGAAACTTGGATAGACTTGACATGATCTCATTGGTCATATGACAACTAGTTTAAAAGTAGATTTATAGGCATACGAATAAGAATTATTTCCATGAATTTATACCTATAAAATATTTTTATAATGGATGATATTTTTGTATGTTAACTAGTATTTGTGAAAATGAAAGCCAACTTAGAGTAACTTATACAGATTTTTTCTTTGACCATGATGGTGCTTTGGGATCTCAGTGCCATAGATTGATCCCATGTTCCTAATTTTTACTTCAAAGATGATAAAGTGCTTTTCCAGGCTTTAATGGCTTATGCCTGTTGTATGATGGTGCAATGAGCATCAGGATCTTGTTCATAATAAAACTGTGCTCACAGTGCTCAACAGCGTTTGTCTTCTAAAATCAGGTGCTTCCTAGTGTACCAAGCTCTTACACAAAGACAAGAAAAGTTCTGGGTGCCAGGTGCTTCCTAATCCATTATAAACCACATGCAGGACTTTGGGGAGATGACCTTTGCCACTTAGAAAGGAAGCTCCATGAGGGCAGGAATTTTGTTCACTGCAGTGCACCCAGTGTCTGAAATAATAACTAGCTCACAGTAGATGCTCAATAACTATTTGATGAAATTGCTTAATTTCATTACACATTTTAGCTTTAAAAAGAAACTTTTTACTCCCAGATCTGAGCCTGATAGGCAGCTCTAGGCCTATTTTAGAATGTCAGAACAGAAAAGCCTATGACTTGGTAATTGTGTTCAACAGACTAAACAAGAAGGAAATGCCTCAACCCAATAAAGACTATCTACGAAAAGTGCACAGCTAATATCATACTCAGAGATGAAAACCAAAAGCTCTTTCTCTGAATGTTATAGATAGAACAAGCAGACATGCCCACTCCCTCCCCTACTTATTCGAACTCTGTACTGTAAGTACTAGCTGAAGTGATTAGGCAAGAAAAAGAAACAAGCAGTATTCAAATTGGAAAGGAAGCTGAATTAGCTCTTCAGAATTATGAATTGTTACACAAAAAATCCTAAAGATTATACATACACAGATATGCAAACACACACACAACACATTAAAGCTAATAAATTCAGCTAATTTCCAAAGGACAAAATAAACACAAAAAATTGGTTTCATATTTGTATACTAAGAATGAATGATCTGAAAAGTAAGAAAAATATCCCATTTACTTAGGTATTAAAAAAAAGAGGACGTACTTAGAAATAATTTTAGCCAGGTAGGTAAAATATTTGAATAAGGAAAATATAAGCAGGAAAATAATATAAAATTAGACATATTCTTTCTTATTTTAAAAAATTAAAGGTATCATAGTGCCTTAAGACTGCCTGAAAGTGCCTGGATCCAGCACTCATTGTGGTGAGTGCCCCCAGATTGCACCATGTCTAACCCCCTATACTGGGACCACATGTGGCCCCTTCCCACTTCAAGGCTAGACTTCTCTGCCCTACAATAGGGGCACAGACATTAGCAGACTGCCTGAGAGTGCCTAAATCAGGCCTCCCCTTGTGCTGTGACTGAGAACCCCCTAGAGATGACCCAGGACAGAGTTTAAGGGAACAATCATAAACATGATCAAAGAATTCAATGAATTCAAAGAACACACAAACAAACAAATCAAAGAACTAAAGATAGGGCTAAACTTCTGACTAAATTCACAAAAGAGATAGAAATACTGAAGAAACCTTAGGCTGAAAGGAAGAAGGAAATGAAAAACTCAATAAGCCAATTTCAAACCATAGGAGAAAGTCTTACCCATAGAATGAATGAAATGGAAAACAGGATATCAAGACTGAACAATAAAGTTGAAGAATTGGGCAACTCAAGCAAAGATTATTTATGAAAAAAGTTTTAAAATACAGGAATGGAATATGCAGGAAATGTGGGGAACCATGAAAAGACCAAATCTATGCATCACAGGCATAGAGGAAGGAAAAGAATTTCAGGTTAATGGTATTGACCAGATCTTAAACAGGATTATAGAAGAGAATTTCCAAAAATTAAGGAAAGACATCCCTATATAAATACAAAGAGCACATAGAACACCAAATACAGGACCAGAAAAAAAACTCCCCATGGCATATTATAGTAAAATCACCATATGTGCAGAACAAAGAGAGAATACTGAGAGCTGCAAAGGAAAAAAACAACACATATATAAAGAAAAACCCATTAGAATTATAGCTGATTTATCAGTGCAAACTATGAAAACCAAAAGAGTCTGCACCAAAGTATTCCCAGTTCTAAATGACCATAGATGCCAACCCAGAATACTTTCCCAGAAAAAAAGTCTATTATAATTAAAGGGGAAAGAAAAATATTCCATGACATTAACAGGTTGAAAGAATACATGTCCACAAAACCAATCCTTCAAAGAAAACTTGAAGCAATACAAAGAACTGAGAAAGGAACAACTGTACCCCAGGGGCAACAGAAAGAAACTAAATGAAGGTATAATTGTGGAAACACAAAATTAGACAAAGAATGCAAACGGTAATCAAAATGATAGCAACCAATATACATCTTTCAATAATAATTTTAAATATCAATGGATTGAACTCCCCAGTCAAAAAGACATAGGCTAGTTGAATGGATTAAGAAACAAAATCCATCCTTTTGCTGTGTGCAAGAAACTCATCTCACCCTCAAGGACTAGCACTGCCTTAAGGTGACATGATGGAAAAGAACATTTCAAGCAAATGGCACTAAGAAACAAGCAGGGATTGCCATTCTAATATCTGACAAAATAGACTTCAAACCAAAATTAATCCGAAGAGATAGAGGGTCACTTCATTCTGCTCAAAGGAACAATTAACCAAGAAGATATTACAAACATGAATATATATGCACCAAACTCTGGTGCACCCAGATTCATAAAAACAACACTACAGGACTTTAAGAATAAGCTCAACTCAATAATAGTAGGGGACTTCAATACCCCCACTGTATCCATTAGAGAGGTCAACTGGACAAAGAATAAACAGAGAGACACCTGAATTAAATAATATCATACCTCAAATGAACCTAACAGATATCTACTGAATATTCTGTCCAAGCAACAAAGAATATACTTTCTATTGAGCACCCAATGGAACATTCTCAAAAATTGACCACTTACTAGGGCATAAAACAAACCTCAACAAATATTAAAAAATTGAAATAATCTGATGCCTTCTCTCAGACCACAATGCAATAAAGCTGAAAATCAACACTGAAAGAAGCCCTAGTACCTACACAAACTCATGGAGTTTAAACAACACACTCCTGAATCATGAATGAGTCAAAGACGAAATTAAGAAAGAAATAAAAGTATTTCTGAAATTAAGCAAAAAGGCCAATACAGCATAACAAAAACTCTGGGACACTTTAAATGCTGTTCTAAGAGGGAAGTCTATAACTCTAAGTGTCTACATTACAAAATCAGAAGGAACACAAATAAATGACTTAACATCGCAACTCAAGACTCTGGAAAGGCAAGAACAAATGAAACTCAAACCCAGCAGACAAGAAGAAATAACAAAAATCAGAGCAGAAATTAATGAAATAAATACAAAGAAACAATACAAAGAATCAATGAATCTAATAGTTGGTTCTTGGAAAAGATAAACAAGATAGACCCTCAGCCCACTTAACCAAAAGAAAGAAAGAGCACCTCCAAATCAACAAAATCATAGATGAAAGGGAAATGTCAAAACAGACACCAAAAAGATAAAGAACATTATTAGAGAAATACTTCAACAACTTATACTCTATTAAATTTGAAAGCCTAAAAGAAATGGATGGATATCTAAAATCATGGGACCCACCAAAGCTAAATGCATTAGTTTAGTCACTTTTCTGTTGCTGTGATAGAAACACTGACCCAAGAAATTTATAGAAGGAAGGGTTTGTTTGAGCTTATGGTTCCAGGGGGCATGGTGGCTGGAGGTGGCTGGAACAGGAGCAGCAGAAGTGAAGCTGTCACATCATCACACAGGCACAAGAAGCAAGAGAGCACCTGGAGATCTGGCAAGGCTTAAGAACTCTGTAAGCCCACCCCCAGTGATGTGCTTCCTCCAGGAGAACCACACCTTCTAAAATATCCCCAAAGAGCACCACCATGTGGGGACAAACTGTCCAAATACTTGGAGCCTATGGGGGACATTTTCATTCAAACCACCACACTAAACAAAGAAGAGATCAACAGTTTAACCAAACCCATAACATATAAGGAAATTGAAACAGTAATACAAAATCTCCCAACTAAAAAAAGCCCAGACCCAGATGGATTCACAGAAGAATTCTACCAGGCATTTAAAGAAGATCTGCTACCAATGCTACTTAAAGTATTCAAAAAGATAGAAACAGAGGGAGAACTCCTGAATTCCTTCTATGAAGCCAGCAACACTCTAATACCAAAACAAGGTAAAGACACAACTAAAAAAAAAACTATAGACCCATA